AGGTTGTGGTCAGAGAGAGGGAAGGGGGTGTTAGTGAGGTTGTGGGGAGCGCAGCGGTTGGAGAAGACAAGATCAAGGATATTACCGTCGGAGTGGGTGGTGGATTGTATGCACTGTGCAAGTGCAAAGGAGGAGGTTAAGTGGAGGAGACGGGCTGTGTCCGGGTTGTCAAGGTTGACAGGGATGTTGAAATCCCCAAGAATGATGGTGGGTAGCTCAGAGGAGAGGAAGAAGGGTAGCCAGGAGGAGAAGTCTTCCAGGAAGCGGGGTATGGATCCAGGAGGCCGGTATATCACAGCAATCTTCTATAATATAATATCTATAATATTTTTCTTTTGGATTGATAAAAAAAAATCTACTTTTTATCAAATAGTTTCAGATTTACCCCTCTAAAAGTACTACAAATATTTTCAGCTTCAATTACTTTAAACTAGAAGTATGAAATTCCTGTGATTCTAAGATAAATGTTACCCAGCACAGCTGTCATGTTTGGCTTAATTGCTAGACGAACGTGGGCTAAATCAAATTCTCAAGCACTCTCGGGCATAGTCAGCATAATGAAACCCACAAGAATATGTAAAAAATTGACCACATGTGGTATATTACTATCCATACAAGAAGGCTTTTATTCTACATTATAGGTTTTAGCAGTGTGTACTTTAGAATCATTCTCATCCGAAAACCTTTACCTGTCGGTATTTTTCTGCAAGGCCCTCATCTGTTTCACAGTATGGATAGCAAATATTTAACCTAAACAGTTTCATTTTATATGGACTTGCTGTTTTAAAAGAAAACCCTGTTCTTTTTATGGCTTATGGAAGTGATCTGAATTTGGAATTTCCTTAATCAACTTAGTTGGTTTGTTTAGGATTAAGTCATTATTTAGTAACAACTGGGTCCAAACCCTGATAGAAAAGATACCTCTTGGTCCACCAAAATCTGCACGTATATAAATGCCTTGCAGTGTGTTAGTAGCTATGACTACCAATATTGGCCTCTGAATGCACAACAATCATAGTGTGACTTCGACTGCAAAGCTTCCCAAAGTAATGTTAAATGTACCAATACAGTTGTCTGATGGTTTATTTTAACGCAAAAAGCTGCACCATCACTCAACCATGTAGTGTGAACTGAGCTATTTTATCTAGTACATGCTTTAAGACCTGTAGTTTATAGGGAGTTTGGTAGTTGTTAGAACCACCTGTCAAACACCCAAAAAAATGCAACGTGGAGAAATCCTTAAAATGTTACGAAACTATACATCTGTTCTTCTATGGAACCTATGCCAGTAGCAGTGAACGCCAGATGTGAGAGGCTCCAGTTTAAAGATTACATTTCTTTCATGTTTTTTAAATGTTTTTACCTGCTAAGTCTAACCAAACACTTTAATTCCAATTTTACTGTAATGTACCCTACATCTGAAGTCTCTTTGTTTTGGTTTGTAAACTTTTTTTTATGTTTGACTTCCAGTTATATTAATCCAATTCATTTTCTTTTCTTTTTACATTTATCATTCAAGTCAGCCCTCATGTTTCCTTTTTTAAGAACACTGACATACAGCATATTGCTGTTACATTTTATCACAGCTATAATATTTACTTGCCTTTTCAATGCTTCCATTTCCATCTCCTGGCTTCAAATTAAAGTAAAATAAATTTAACATGCAATGAGTTACTGTGTGAAAGAGTTCTTTGTGATATTCACAAACATGTGCTCAGAAGTTTCCACAAATCCACAGGACTTAAGAGATTTGAAATGAAAATTGTTTTGCGGGGGAGGCAATTTTCCTTTGCACCTCTCAGCATGAAGTAATGGAGCCAAAGTTATCTCTGCAAACCTCTTTGTGTCTGAAATGTGAAAAATCAGAGTATTTACCTGCTGGTAGGATACCTAATTAAAGATGCCCATGCATGCAGGCCTGATCATGGATAAACATGGCATATATAATTACAGAGATTTCCTAGGTCCATAGAAGAGAGATTTTTGTTTTAGGTCCACCTAATGTTTTCATGGGCACACTGCAGGCTGAAACGTTGCCTCTCCCAGCATTGGTCTCACTTAACTCTGTCTCCTTACTTGCCTCTCTGTGCTCCCCATCTCCTCTCTTATATTTCTCTGTGCTGTTTCCACATTTCTTTGTATTTTGTGGCTGAAGCAGCAGAAAAAAACATAATTCATTTTGGATGATAATCTCAGTGTGCTTTTGTGGTCACTAGGGGCCTGAAAAAAAGATTCCAATTCTGCCTAACACTAGAGGCACACATATAGATGATTACTAACAGTATTAGTCCTAAGACTTGGATAACTAGGTTTTTCCTGGACCTAATAATGCCATTAGATAGCCAGGAATTTGCTGTACTTTTCTTGGCATATTTTTAGTTCCACCAGTACCAACTGCAGACTCAGATAACATTATATGTACAGTACATACAGGTGATAAAAGGATAATTTCTCTTTCGTGTGGAAAAGGAATGAGCAGACATAGGTTGCAAACATATCATTAATGTAAAATCTCTTCAACGACAGACCCAAACAGAGAGTTAATAATTCTGCATCCCATGTAAGACTCTTCTGTCACCAGCTATGCTTGAATCAATCAGTACACATTGCTTTTAAATTCAGCTATACTGATCCCTTTTCTCCAGCACATTTTGTTCAAAAATATAGATCACACTGCGTATGTATGCTGTTGCAGTAAAACAGCTGGGAGTTAAAGAAGACCTATGCCTAAATGCAAGCTTAAAGTTGTTGTAAATCCTTACATATGGCCACTAAATTGACTAGTCTCAAATGGCACACAGAGCTGAAACAAATCCTCTTACACAAGTTGTAATTGTTTATCTGCAGCCTTCTCTTTCTACATCCTCCAAAAACACACAGATCAAAGTTTATTTCTCAGAATATTTCTCTGATGTCACACACACTGCACAGCTAGAGCACAGAGCTCAGTTAAACCTTTAACCTGAATGGAGGGAATGGACATACCCTACTCTATGAAATCATAGGGAAATATAAACAGCTGATGCTGTCTGTCAGCTGCTGTGTGCTAGAACGGAGTGGGCCAATGCTGTGGAGTCGATTTGGGCTATTATCAGTGACTTGTGCTGATAGCTGCAGAGACAACTGAGAGAAATTACACATTCACATTCATGTTGACATAGATAAATGTAGAGTATAAGGGACTTAGTTTCCCATGAGAAAATGCTGCTACATCATTTCTAAGAAAAGGGCCAACAATAGTAATTTGGATAGGTGACCTATGTTGAAGGGCAAGACTGCTTTATTCTCCCCTTGTATTTCTATAATATTTATATTAATGTAATGTTTGATTATAGGTCGGTTTTAATCATTACAAGAAATTAATACAAAAAACCTATTGTTGCTAATTCAATACTCTTTCTTTTTAATCTACAGAATGGGAAGTCGGATTCAAGTACACCCCAATGGCTCACTCATTGTCCAGTCTGTAAATGAAAAGGATGCTGGTGATTATTTGTGTGTAGCAAGAAATAAAATGGGAGATGATGTAATTCTTATGAAAGTCAGTATAACTTTGAAACCTGCAAAGATAATACAAAAACAGCAGCTCATCAAGGAAGTTCCATATGGAAAAGACTTCAGAGTAGACTGCAAGGCTTTAGGTTCTCCATCTCCAGAAATATCCTGGACTTTACCTGATGGCACAGTAATAAACAATGTTCTGCAAGCTGATGACAGTGGCAGGAGGGTAAGGAGATATGTTCTCTTTGACAATGGTACTTTGTATCTCAACAAAGTAGGAATGGCTGAAGAGGGAGATTACACATGTTACGCTGAAAACACATTAGGAAGAGATGAAATGAAAAATCCATATCACTGTGGTCACTGCTGCTCCACGCATTAAAATAAACACCAGAACAAAATTTGAGGCAAGAGCTGGTGGTCGTGTGGTTCTGGATTGTGAGGCTGCTGGAGAACCAAAACCTAAAATATTCTGGTTGCTTCCATCAAGTGACATGATAGCCACATCCCATGACAGATATTTATTGCATGAAAATGGATCTTTGACCATCAACCTTGTTAAATTGCTGGATGCAGGAGAGTACATGTGCGTGGCACGTAATCCTGCAGGAGATGACACAAAGCTCCTCGAACTAGATGTTCATTCAACACCACCTGTTATTAATGGTTTATATACAAATAAGACAATAATTAAAGATTCAGCCTTAAAACACTCTCGAAAATTAATCCACTGCAAAGCTGAAGGGACACCACCGCTTCAACTCATGTGGATCATGCCTGATAATATTTATCTTACAGCACCATATCATGGCAGCAGGATTATAGTACATCAGAATGGAACACTGGAAATTCGGAATGTAAGGCCTTCAGATACAGCAGAATTCACTTGCGTTGCTCGCAATGATGGTGGTGAAAGTATGTTGGTGGTCCAGTTGGAAGTCCTGGAAGTGCTTAGGAGGCCAGTGTTTAAAAATCCATTCAATGAGAAGATAATTGCCAAACCAGGAAAAATGGCTATTCTTAACTGTTTTGCAGATGGAAACCCAACTCCAGAAATATTGTGGCTTCTGCCAAATGGCTCTAGATTTGTAAGTGGACAGATGATTTCAAAATATCATGCAGGAACGAATGGAACTTTAATTATTTACAATCCAACCAAAAATGATGCAGGCAAGTATCGATGTTCAGCCCGAAATAAAGTTGGCTACATTGAAAAACTCATTATACTTGAGGTGGGTCAAAAACCTAATATTCTGACACATCCAAGAGGACCAATAAAGGGTATCATTGGGGAGATGTTGTCTTTACACTGTTTGTCTGATGGAATACCAAAGCCTAGTGTTATCTGGACACTCCCAAGTGGATATGTGATAGACAGACAACAGTTTAGTGGAAAATATATGCTACTAGAAAATGGCACACTGGTCATTCAAGAAGCAACTATACATGATAGAGGAAATTATTTGTGTAAGGTAAAAAATAATGCTGGTGAATCATCCATAAGTGTTCCTGTTATGATTGTAGCATATCCTCCAAGGATTACAAATAAAGCCCCACAAAACATTCATACAAGAGCTGGTTCACCTGTACATCTAAACTGCATGGCAATTGGAATACCAAAGCCAGAGATAACTTGGGAGCTACCGGACTCATCAGTGTTAACAACAGCAAGTAAAGGGCGGTCTATCGGGACTGAGCTTCTCCACCCCCAAGGAACATTAGTTGTGCAAAATCCCAGACCTTCAGACTCTGGGGTGTACAAATGTATTGTTAGAAATGCCCTTGGCATGGACAGTAGCTCAACTTATTTAAAAGTTATCTAAAGCTACAAGCAGAAAACTCTACAGACCATGAATGCATTTGAAAAGAAGTCAAAAAAGGAGGGAGGTAGAGACAATTGACTCTAATTTTTGGCTTACAAATGTAGGATTTTATCAATGCCTACATAAAATAAATGACTTACTTAAGGCACTTTTCTAAATCCTCCTTTATAAGGAAACTGTGAAAATAAAGAATGACATATTATATATATAAAAACATTTTTATTCAAAAACTATACCAGGAACATTTATTATTTTTCCATTATACTTCTTTACAAATAAAATAAGCAAACCTATTTTTTTTTAAAAGATCTCAAGGTCAATATAATTAATAAAAAAATAAAAAAATTGGTTGGCTGTTGCATTTTTTTTACAAAGTATTTTTAATCGAGACAAGTTAGAGTAGCTGTATTTTTGTTTTAATGAACAGTAAATACAGTATATTTGACAGTTTTAAAAACAATGAATTTGGGTTTATTTATAGCCAGATGCAAAGCTTCTGATATGGGAGTTAAAATAGCCGCACACTTACACATCATAAACCACTGTTAGAACCTAACACTGTTGCAAGCCCAACTTATTTTTTTTTCCTTTTTACATTTTCTTGTAATGAATAAGAAATGTTTTTATTTTGGGTAAATCAAACATATCTAACCATGCCTACTCTCAGTAAGCCCACCAAACTGTCCACCATTGTGGATTGTGCTTGGCTATCTCTTCTTTACAAACAGTAAGTCACCATTGATTTAAGTGTTACTAATGTTTTAATATGCCTACTGTTGTTTTTATAGTTTACCTACTAAAAATGTTAAGCTAAGGTCACAAATATAGCCAGAAAACAACAGTTGCTACCTGAGTGTTGTGACCAGCAGTAAGTGGTCAAATCACAGATCATTTTATTTGTGGGAATTATTTTGTTTTGTGGGATCTTACAAGGCTATATATTGGTTGTGATTCGAGCTTACACATACTGACAATACCTATAACAAATACAGGGATAAGTGTATGGTTGGCAGAAAAAGGTTGTAAGCCTTTACATATACCCACCCAAGTGACTAGCCTCAGGTAATACACAGAGATTAAACAAATCCTCCTACATAAGTTGTATCTATTTATCTGCTTTCTTCTCTATAGCTTCTCAAGGGCTCATTCACACCATGGTGCAGAGACGTCAGTTTTTCTGCATGGGTTCTGCAAGGGCACAAGGAAACCAATTGTTTTCTATGTGCCCTGTTCACACCACAACACTAGTATCACATGCAGATTTTTTTCTGCGCAGGAATCTGCAACATGCATAAAACTCATTGAAGCATGCATGGAAACTGATCTAAACTAATGTCTCTGCAAGTGAAATCTGCGCGTACATTTCCATCAGTTTTTCTGCACATATGGTGTGAACGAGTCCTAAAGCAGACATTTTACACAGCATTTATAAGCTCCAGAAGGCAGAGAGTGGGGATCTGGTATCGAACTGCACAGCACAGTGGAAGGAGCTAACTATAATTTTTAGACCCAAATCGAGAGAATGGACAAATCCTCCTCTACAAAGTCTCATAAGGAAGCAAGCACAGCTGATACTGTCATTCACCTGTTGCTGGGGGGGGGGGGGGGGGCATGGCCATCTCCAATGATTGTCAGATGTCAGCACAGACGGTCAGAAGTAACCCACAGTAGGTGTTTTGGATCATATAGTACACACTATAGAAGTATATGCTTTGTTCTTTTCAGGGGTTTACAACCACTTTATTACCACATACTTTATTTAGATTTCCTATTACATATTTAGTTGTAGGTCAGCTACAGCCACGGCCAAAACTTTTTGCACCCCTGCATTTCTGTTAGATAATGCACCACTTCACCCTGAAAATTGTTGCAATTACAAATGTTTACACATTCACGTTTATTTCTAGTTTGTATTGGTATGACACAAAACGCCAAATCTGAAATATTCCATGCAAAACCCCAAAAATGGACTGGACAAAATTATTGACACCCTCAATTAATATTTGGTAGTACGCACCTTGCAAAAAATAAGTGAAATCAATTGCTTCCTGTAACCATCAATGATTTTCTAACACCTCTCAATTGGAATTTTGGACCATTCTTCTTTTGCCAACTGCTCCAGGCCTTTCAGATAGGGAGGGTTCCTTTTCCCAGATGCTGTTTTGAGCTCTCTCCACAGGTGCTCTTTTTAATGAAAAATTAAAATAAAACATGTGTTACTTGTAATGGCAAGTGTCCACAGTACAGGACCCCCCAAAAAGGAAATCTATAAAAGGCAAACAAAGGTGCATTGTGCCCCAATGCACTTTAAGTTCATTCATCTTTTTTTCATAAGAAAATTGGTAAAACAAGTATGCTTTTCATACAGCAAGACACAAATGCAGCTATTCTTTCGGAAAAGAAAGTGACATGCAGGTGTGTTAAATACACCGCAACTTCACAAATAGATGTGAACTGCCTAAACTAACATTGTGACAAGCTGTAAATGTATTAGCGTGAAGGGATACTTATTAACATTGTTTTTCTTAGTTATCACTAATATGGTGAATTTACTGCAACAAGTAAAGAATTCGGTAATAATTTACTGAACTACCTTGTTGTCAAATACTAATGGAATGATCTATTAGAGAGTGTACATATGATGATGTCAGCTCTACGGACACATTTGTATCAACTATCAAACAAATTAAGGGGAATACATGGGCTGTTAGAATCATTAGAGTGAAGAAATAAACTTTTAAATGTTTTTCTGGTCACCACTAGCCCCTTGTAGGTAGATCTAGCAGAAATATTTTGTGCTTGGTGTTAGCTGCACCAATGACTCACATACACATTACTAAATAGAAAACCTTTTAGGTTGTAAGACTCAGGTTTACAAAGTTTGTTGCTTGAGACTGCTAATGTCCAAAGCAGTAAGTAGTAAGTACAGTATAGTATGAGGCAGTTAAGAAGCCATGGGACGTATCCTCACGGTAACATCTGAAGCATATTGCTTACCCTAATACATGGTAGAAACAACCATCATCTTCAGAAAGTAGTCACAAGACTTTCTGAAACTCAGAATACACATGGTCTTCATTTCTTGCTATGTAAGCTATTATGCAACTACTGTAGAGTTGGAGATTTGTTTTATTATATGATGAAGGACAAATCTGGTGAAGTCTGCACAAAAGGAAGTCTAATTGACCTCTGCCTAGACGAGCATAAGTTCTTAGCCCTGCCCTTTAATATAATAAACTATTTGAAGCAGACACGGTTTTATTACGGTTGTTATTTGCAGTTTTGTTAACCTATATAAAATTTAGCATATGTTTAATTATGCCAACCAAAGGGATTATGAACATCTAGAAACTCCCCTAATCACACATTTGCAGAGACAGATGTTTGGCCATCTTGGATCACAGACACCAATTACTTTCAAACAGATTTGCTCTTAAGAAGTGTATAGTCTACATACAGTATATCGGATGTGGAACAGTACAAGCAAATGCATTTATTAAAAGACTCTCAGTTACTGAAAACAGAAATCCAAGTAAGTACAAAATGAAGAACATATTTTACATTACAACCTTGGCGTGACAAGATAGCACTTGTCATTTGGATACACTAACATTTTTATAAACTGCACAAGACAAATATTGTCATATTGATTTCCAACAGAACACAATTTAGACCACAGCAAAACATATTCTTTTAAACCAGGATCTCTATATCTTTGTGTTCTCAAGCGTCCGGAATCACAAAATCCCACCTTTAAATTCTTCTATTTTTTTGCAAGATTATCTTCCACATTCTATACTCCTCCCTTAAATACTTCACCTACTAAAATATGGGTGAACTATGATACAACAAGTCACCCATACTGATACTGAATCACACTGTACCCATGGCAGCAGACTTTAGTTTTTTCTTTGAATCAAATTAGCAGAAGATGAAGAAATGGAATAAAGGGTGTGTACACACAGTTCTTGTAGTGTGGATGCCAGGGGGTGGCTGCTCTGTAACACTAACCAGTCTCTCCTTGAAGAGTATGCTTAAAATGATTGTAACTGCTAATGTTTTATTTACAGACAGGTTTATACTTACTTGCTCTGTGCAATGGAATTGTGGTACACCTGCGAGCTTGCTCCTGAGGCCATGCTGCCTGTGTCTATAGACACTCACAGTGCAGCTCGGCCCCGCCCCCCACTCCCTTGTCACAGGATTTGACTGATAGCAGCAGGAACCCATGGCTCAGCTGCTCTCAGCCAAGCCTATGATGAATGGAAAGAAGGGAGAGAACCCCTTACAGGCTCAAGTAAGCATAAGGAAGGGGGATGGGCGGGGTAGGGGGCATACCAAGACATTTTTTTACCTTAATGCAAAGAATGCATTGAGGTAAAATATACTTAGACTTTAAAACTACTTTAAGATACCTATGTAATGGGGTTGATGCCAATCATAATAATGAATGATAAGCACGTGGTCACCAAAATGATTGATTAGGTGCAATTTGCTGTGTGTTTGTCCATTAATGAAGGATGTGGGTAATCCTCATGTAAGATTTACATAAGATTTTTTTTTTTTGTCAATTGCTTTTTATGGCCAGCCCAAAACAAAAGCTATTCCATGGGCAATACAGAAATAATATTTTTTTGTTAGGTAATTATAAGGGGTTTGACAGCTATGTATGGCACGTTTTTGTTCTTTCATGGCTCATTTATGTCCTATTTATCAAAGCTTTTTTATAGTTTTGTTCACCAGGAGAGATTTCTGTGGGGTGTACGGTTCATAAACAGTATATAAAACATACTTAAGATTTTCATGGTTACAAGAAAGCAACCTTTGAATTTGATCACATTTGTAGTAGGTCAGATTGAAATAGATATGTAGTTTTATTAACATTAAATTGCAACAATTGTGATATTTTATAAGAGTGAACATTTTCTTGAATTTAACATCCAACTGCAGCCAAAAGATTATATTTAATTTTGGATTGAATGGAGAAGCGTTGGAACTTC